TTCGTCAGCCCGAACGTCAGCACTGTATACTCGTAGCTGCCGTAGCGAAATGCAGTTTTCGGGCAGTCGTCGGCGAACACATAAATTTGATGGTAGCCACCTCGCAAGTCGATTTTCGAGAAATAGCGAGCCCCGCAAAGCTGATCCAGTAGGTCGTCCGCTCGCGGAATCGGGTAACGCGACTTAATGGTGATCCGATTCAGCGCTCGATAGTCAATACACATGCGCATGCCTCCGTCCTTCTTCGGTGTGAACAGTATCTGCTGAGAGTCACTACACAATGGGAGTGGACTACGGAGGAGGGCACGGGGTTGTGCGAGTGATCGCATCGCTCTAGTAGCGTACTTACTACTTGCTTGTGTTCACAGAGACGGTTGGCAAGAGTTCCACTTAGGAAGTTCAAAGAACATTGAGCACTGAAAAGATTTGAGCACAATGAGGCATGCAAAACGATATGACTAGAATGGCATGCAACCCCTAGCAAGCATTCTGTAGGGCGAACTCTGCCAGCGCAACAGAAGAGCGGTTTGCCAACGCTGCAGAAGAGCGATCTGCCAGCGTTGCACTGCACGCGGTCTGCTTGCACTGCAGTCGCACGTGACTATCTGCACAGATGTGCGCACCTACCAAGTAGGTTCAGGTTGACGGTTTCACCGCCAGGCACATTGCGCAGGTGCCAGGTAGAAAACGTGTCGTCGGTTTCCTCAGGTGCCAACCGTCGAGCACGTGATGCCGTTCCGCAGGTCGAACCTCGCCAAAACCTCCTGGGAAAATATCACACGACTCCACAGACTTTCGCACACCTCTGCGAGTTCGGTCGATCAGCTCGACACCGCTCGGTCGAACAGCGTTCGCCGAGCAGAGCTCGTCGACCAGAGCTCCTCGACCAGAGCTCTTCGACCAGAATCGTCGACCAGCGCTCCTTGACGGACATCGTCAACCACCGCTCCTCGACGGGCCTCCTCGACCGCTGTCTTCGACCAGCGCTGCCCGTCGACGATGTCGACCAGATTCCGTCGAGCAGAGCCTGCTCGACCACTACCTCCGTCGAACTGCATAAGCCCACTTCGACGACCAATCCGTCGAGGACTTCTCGTCGACGGCGAGATCGGCTGCGGCCAAGCGAGGGCGGGGCCTTTCTCTTCGACACTCCCCTGCCCAGCTCACACTTGGGCACCCACACACAAGGTCCACCCAAAACCCAGAGGGATAGAATACAAGGAGAACATTCCATCTGCGTGCACCCAACACATAGCACGCAGATCACCGCACCAGCCGTGCAGAAGGGCACGGCACCTACTGCTGCACCTCGTCATCCCCGTCACCAATGTCGGCCAGACGCACTTTGCCGATTGTGACGGAGCACCAGTTGAAAGCCAGAAAATGCAGTGCCTTCGTCAGAAAGTCTGCCGGCTGCTCGGAGGTCGGGATGTACTACAGAGCAATCTTCCCGCGCTTCATCATATGCTGCAGCCAGGCGTAGCGTCGCTCCATGTGCTTGAGGTTTCCCTTGAGCCCCAAGCCCTCTGCGACCGTGATTGCCGACTGGTTGTCCACGTGCAGCATGGTTGGCTTCCCAGTGTTGAGCAGCTTGAACTCTGCAAGGAGGAAGCGGAGTCGACGAGCCTCCTTGCCGGCTTCCGTGGCTGCGATGTACTCCGACTCGGTCGACGAGAGCGTCGCGCACTTGATGCTCTGGCTCGACCAGGAGACTGCGGCCCCTCCGAAGACAAACACGTAGCCTCCCGTGCTCGTCCGATTCTGCTTGTCACCAGAGTCGTCGGCATCTGCATAGCCGACCAGACACGGCGACTCTGGTCCGCCGCCGAACTCCAGAGCGGCGTCACGGGTGTCGGCGAGGTAATGCAGACAGCGACCGACCTCGCGCCAGCAGTTGTCGCTCCGCACTGTCAGGCCGCTCCCCAGCTTGCTGCACGCGAAGGCAATGTCCAGCCTCGTTGTTGTAGCCGCGAACTACAGCGAGCCGACCTTCTGCCGGTACTCTGCTTCCTTGCGCAACTGGAACTCTTCGTCATCGAACATCGGCTCTGCGTAGGCTTGTCGACGAAGACTTGCTGGTGAAGCCACAGCTTCCGCGCAGGACAGTCGCGCACGATTTCCAGCCCGAGATACTTCTCGACCGGGCTGATCTCGCGCAACTTTAGCAGCTCCTTCAGCTCCTTCAGCATCGCGTGCTGCTGCTTGCGGCGAGCAGGTCGTTGACGTAGACGAGCACCCAGCACGCCACTCTGTCGTCGCCGACCTTGAAGTAGAGAGCCTCGTCAACCTGGCTCTTCTTCCAGTCGTCGAGCGCCTTGTACCACAGCAGCGGCGACTGCTTCAGCACGTAGAGGTTCTTCAGCAGCGTGCAGACGCGACCGGTGCCGTCGTTGTAGTAGTCGGGCTAGTACATGTAGAGGGCGTGATCTAGCTTGCTCTGCAGAAACGCGTTCTTCATGTCGAGCTGCATCAGACGCAGGTCGAGAACTGCTACGATGCTGAGGAACATCCGCAGAGTCACGTAGCTCCCCACCAGCGCGTACGTCTCGTCGTCGTCTGCACCGTAGACCTGTGTAAAGCCTTTTACGACCAGGCGGTCCTTCTCGCGGGCGACCGTGTCGTCGACGTGGTACTTCGTCATGAGCACCTAGCGGTTCTTCATGATGTTGACACCGCGCGGACGCTCGACCAGCTCCCACGTGCCGTTGGAGATGAGGCTCCTGATCTCTTCGTCCATGGCGGCCTTCACCGCCTTGCCCTTCCAGCTCGCCAATGCCTCCTTCACCATCATGTTGGCAATGTCCCAGCGGTGCTCCGGGTCGGCATGCATGTCGGGGTCGAGCTCGGGCAGATCGACGTCGGCCTTTGCGTCGTTGAGCAGAGTACTATAGGCCATCGGCGGTAGACAAGCGTGGTAGCTCAACTTCTCAGGCGGCTTGCCGATGTTGGAGCGAGTAGACCGTCGCGGTTTCTCCTCTTCGACTGGAACCTCCACCACGTCGCTGTCATCATACTGCTCCTCTGTCAACAGCTCCCCTTCATCGCCGCCGGCCGCACCGACGACTTCCACAACGTCGCTCGACGAGTCGTCGTCGAACTGCTCCCCTATCGGCAGCTCCTCTACCGACTGCTCCCCCAGGATCGGCTTCTCTGCCAGTAGCTCCCCTGAAGCTGGCGCCTCTGCCGATGGCTTTTCGGAAGTCGGCTTCGTCGCGGACAGCTTCCCTGTCATCTGCTCCCCTGTCGTTTGCCGCTGCCCGTCTACGACCTTCTCGACGTCACGTCGGCCACCGGCGATGCAACCGGTCGGCGCCGCAGGCAACGCACCAAGTCTCCCCACATCGCCGGCGGTCGACGAGGATCTTTTCGCTTGAAGGTCGACGATGGGCGGTGAAGGGGAGGGCGACGAAGTCGCCGACGGGGGCAAAATAGGAGGGAGTGGGACTTCCTCTACGTCCTCGTCGTCATGCTCGTCGACGCCGGCGAGCAGGGGAGGCATCTCTGAGGAGGAATCTGGCAGCGGGGCAGATGGCGTCCTTGTCGACGCCGGGCCGTACTCTGCCTTCCACAGCTCCATCGACAGGGTCTCGTAGAATATCGCTTCGACCGTCGCGACGATTTTTTTGTCCATCAGGTCGAGCACCTCCCAGCCCTTGCTCTCTGGCGACACTCCGAGGTGAAGACCCCAACGAGCCTTCGGCGCCAGCTTCCCGCCGCGCTGCTGCTCGGGGACCATAAACTGCACCATCCAGCCCCACACGCGTGCCAGCGTCAAGTTCGGCTTCTTCTCGAACCGCAGCTCGTGCGGCGTCGTCCCCGGAGGCAGAGAAGCCCGTTCGAGGTAGTTGCGCACCCAGACGGCCTGTCACAGAGCGAGGTGCTACCAGTGGTGCTTCACGCCCATGTGCAGAAGCATCGTCCGCACGGCTTCGACGACCGTGCGCATCTTGCGCTCCGCCATGCCGTTTTGCTGCGAAGTGTAGGGGCACGTCAGGTTGTGGAGGATGCATTTGTCCTCAAGGAGGTCGGTGAAGCCTCGACCGAGGAACTCCCCTCCGCGGTCAGAACGCAGCGTCTTCACCGTCTTCGAAGTCTGCGGCTCCACCACCTTCAACAACTTGTCGAAGACGACCAACACTTCGCTCTTCTTCGCGATCGGCCTCACCCACACGCAGCGAGTCTTCCTGTCCTTCAGCAGAAGAAAGTAGAGGCTGACATCGTTGGCAGCCACTCAAAACGGCCCGCAGAGGTCGATGTGCACCACATCGAGCGCATTCTCGGCGTCCGATCCTTGGTCGGGGAAGCTTGCCGCTGACGCAGGAGGCACATGGCAGGTCGTCTGCGGTCGAATTCTTGATCATATCGACGCCGACGTGCGCAAGCCTTGCGTGCCACATGTCTGGGGTCGACTTCGTCGCCGACGCAATCGTCCGTAGAGCCACAACCTCCGTCGAATTCGTCGTCGCCTTCGTCGAGCAGGGGCGCAGGTCGGTGCAGAGAACTCTGCCAGAGTAGCGTGCTCGACCAAGGACATCGCCAACAGAGGACACCAGCAGCATTTCCTCGCCATCGTCCTGTAGCTTTACGACGTTCTCCTGGAGATGGCCGGTAGACAGCAGGTTCGCCTGCACACCCGGAACGTAGAGCACGTCGGGGACGAGGACCTGCTTCCCGGCCTCCCTTTGCAGAGCAACGGTGCCTCTGCCTTGGACGCTCTGAAGTGCCCCGTTGAAGCCGCGAACATGGCGCACGTCTCCGCTCGGCTGCATGTCGACGAAAGCCTCCCGCATTCCCATCAGATGATGGGAGCAGCCGCTGCCCCTTCCTCTTCCCAACTCTTCTCCATAGTACGCAATGTGAAGTAGACCCACGCCATCCACTCCCTCTGCCTCCAACTACCTTCTTACCTTATCTGCATCTCATGCCCTCCTTCGTTTCATCCTGCCTTCCTTGGTAAAACTCAACACTACTTACTTTCCCTCTTCACCACGTCCCCTCTCATGGCTTCTCATCGGTGGGCGATGTCAACGTGTCTCACATCATCCACTCGCTGGCTTTCAGTGTGCCATTCCTCTCCTTTTCTAACTTTCCCTACTGCCTCACAACCACCTTCCTTCCCTTCAACACCCCCTTTCCTTCCCCCTCCAGGTCTTCTCATCAGTGGGCGATGTGAACGTGTCTCACATCATTCACTCCCTGAGTTTCAAAGTGTCTTCCTCTTTCCGTACCATTCCCAATTGCCTCACCTCACAACCACCTTCCGTACTGTTAACACACCCCGTCTTTTTTCCCCCTTCTCCAGGTGTTCTCCTCAGTGGGTGATGTCAACGTGAGTCACGTCATCCACTCCCTCGGTTTTGGAGTGCCCTATCCTGGCCGCCTCAACCCACTCGACGGCTTCGTCCGCATCCTGCCGCCCCTCAAGGAAGGGGAGGACCCTGCCAGATCCAGTGGCACCTTCAAGTACTTTCTCAAGGTGAACCATTTCCACCGCACTGCACCGTATAGTACAAGGGCTTTTTGAAGACGAACCAGTACTCCATCTGTGAATTCAAGTGGGTTCGGAGCGGTTCAGCAAGGTTCAGTCCACGTCCTTCCCACTATACAACCCCTCCGTGTCCCCTCAGATGGTGCCCACTCGCTTCCGCTTCTGGCATGGAGGCTTTGTGAAGACGTATCAGTACTCCATCAGTGGGTTGGGAGTGGTGCAGCACCTGTAACCACCTCCCTCCTCCCGCGCCCCTCACCCTTCCCTTCTTTTCCCTCGCATTGTCTCCTTTCCTCAGGTGGTGCCGACTCGCTTTCGCTTCTGGCACGGGGGAACCGTGAAGACGAACCAGTACTCCATCAGTGAATACTTCACGCCTTCTTCCCCGCAGTCCAACGCCCTGCCAGGTATGCACACTGCCAGGTATGCACACTGCCAGGTATGCACACAGCCAGGTATGCGCACTGCCAGGTATGCGCACTGCCAGGTATGCGCACTGCCAGGTATGCGCACTGCCAGGTATGCCCACTGCCAGGTATGCGCACTGCCAGGTATGCGCACTGCCAGGTATGCACACTGCCAGGTATGCACACTGCCAGGTATGCACACTACCAGGTATGCGCACTGCCAGGTATGCGCACTGCCAGGTATGCGCACTGCCAGGTATGCACACTGCCAGATATGCACACTGCCAGGTATGCGCACTGCCAAATATGCGCACTGACAGGTATGCGCACTGCCAGGTACGCGCACTGCCAGGTATGCGCACTGCCAGGTATTGAGACGTCTCAAAGCATACCTCATTTATTACCATGTGAAGACCAACTAGTAATCCCTCAGTGAATATTTCACGCCCTCTTCCCCGCGGTCCAACGCCTTGCCAGGTATGCATCGTGCCAACCACATAATTGTCTAATACACCTAATTCTTGTGTGTTGCATCCTCCGTTTCCCTCTCCACCCATCTCGCCTCCTTCACCCCTCTCGCCCATTCCAACTATACTTCCTACCACTCTTGACCACTTCCTGCCGCTCCCTACCACTCCTGATCACATCCTACCAGGCCGCTCCCTGCCATCCCTCCCTGTCACCCGTCGCATTCTTCCCCACTCCTACCACACGCTCCCCACTGTAACACTCTCCGCATCTCCCCTCTCTCCCCCTCCCCTCTGCAGCAGTGTATTTCCTGTAGGACCTCTCGCCCATAGCAGTGAGCATCACCGAGTCGCACCGCAGCTTCTTCCACTTCCTCACTCGCCTCTGCGCCGTGCTGGACGGCACATTCGCCCTCACAGGTGGGTAAGGCGCACAGGTGAGTAAGGCGCAGGTGGGTGGGGCGCACAGGTGGGTGCATGGCAGGGGCACATTCGCACTCACAGGCCCAGTTTTGAATCGACTCTAGACTCTCATGTCCTACCACCCCTCTCTTTCTGTATTTATCTTTCCCTTCCCCCCCACCAAGCATGCTGGATCGCTGGGTGTACAGCCTGCCGCACCTTGTCAATCGCCCGCATCCCTGCCCTCCCATGCTACTCTGCAAAGTACCATGCCGTTCTGTCCCTCTCGCTCACCCGTGTTCTCCCTGCGCTTGCCCATCCCTTCCCTCCTGTTGGGCTGAGAAAAAGCCCTTAGGATCTTTGCAGGACTAAACTCTGAGTAGGAACAATATAATAGCGGAAGCGTTTAATGATAAGCCTGTGAACCACCTTGCGCTGGTATGTGAGGGCAAAGTAGATTGATTAATCAAAGAGATACAAGGCTTTTATAAGAGTACAAGGAATATGAAAAGATGCAACTAATAGATGTTTTGCTGTTTACTGTTGCGGTTCAATATAGAGACGACTCGGGCAACTGCTCGATAACGAGTCAGTTGTTTGTCCTTGCTGTCGCGCTGTACTTGTCAGGTCAAAGGTCGCTGACCTTTGACTTTCGCGTAACCTCTAGCAGTTGCTCAACCTCCGAGGGTTGACTCGCTGATGCTTCGCTGTGTTTCGCTTCGTTTATGACTTAGTGTTTCGACACGACAGAGGCGCTTAAATCACTTGTTTCCAACACTCCCCTTCGCTTCTGGAGTGTCGCTGCTGGTGACGTGGCTCTGTCCAGTCAGCAGCATGCAGTACTCGAACTTCTGCTTTCCGAGTTTCTTGGTCAAGTAATCAGCTGCCATCTCAGACGTGGGGCAGTAAGACAGCTCGAGTCTCCCCTTTTCGATCTCGTCCTTCACGAAGAAATATCGCAGGGCGATGTGCTTCGTCCTGTTCGCGAATCCATTTTTGTTGGCTATGCGAATTGCTGACTGGTTGTCACAGAACAGGGAGAAGCTGGGTAACTGAGCCAGCTTCGCTTCCTCCAGGAGTTCGCGAAGGTACAGTCCTTCCTTGGTGGCTGAGCAAAGTGCGATATATTCTGCTTCAGCTGAGGAGAGGGCGATTAACTCCTGCTTGCTCGACTGCCAGGAGATAGGTCCGATAGGTTCGAAGCGATAGATGTAGCCGGTGCGCGAGCGTCTGTTGTCGGAGTCGCCGGCGTGATCGGCGTCGACGTAGCCGATTAACTTAGGTGTCGAGGTTCCGTTCTTGTGATAGGTCAGGCCGATCGTCGGAGTGCTAACGAGGTAGTGAAGAGCGCGGACGAGCTCCGCCATGTGTTCTGCCTCGGGCCTTTTGAGGTAGGTGGCGATAGATCCGGACGGCAGGTGACGGCCGCGAAGAGGAGGCACCCCAGCTTTCTCTGGTAGTCGCGTATGCCTGCGGGCTTGAGCGGAGCGGAGCCTTCCTTGTGATTTCCTGCGGTGTAGCGGTATGGCGTGGAGATGGTGATCGGGGTGAGTCCGAAGCGTTTGGCGATAGTGTCGGCATATTTCGCGGCGTTGAGATAGATCGCGCCTTCCTCTTCCTGGATGTTGAGGCCGAGGTATTGCGTGACGGTTGATGACACTGTGAGAGTGAGGTCCTGCTGCAGCTCCCCTTCGAACCAAGTAGTGACGCTGTCAGTCGAGCCGATGTAGAGCAGATCGTCCACGTAGACGATGAGCAGAATGTAGTCGTCACCTTTCGTGAGCCGGTACATGCCCTGGTCGTGTGGTAGCTGTCGGAATCCGATGCGGATGAGTCGAGCGTGTAGATACTGCTGCCACAGTCTTGGAGCCTGATTAATGCCGTACAGGGACTTCAGCAGCTGACAGACATGGTTGGGCTCTCCGTTGGAGCCGTGTGGAAGTTCAACGAAGATTTCGGTGTCAACAGGTGCGTAGAGAAATGCATTGGCGACGTCAAATTGCCGCAGCTTCTTCTTCTTCATGGCGGCGATCGCGAGAAGAATTCGAAGTGAAGTGTGTCGGCTGACCGGGGCGAACGTCTCGGTGAAATCACGTCCGTGCTCTTGGTCGAAACCGCGCACGACCCAGCGCGCCTTAAACTTGTCGATGGTGCCGTCTGCCTTTGTCTTCACACGGAAGACCCATTTTCCGGTGAGTATCGTTTTGTTGCGTGCCACGCCGATGGGAACGACTTTCCAGGTGTTCCGTTCTTCCAGTGCTTTCAGCTCCTTGTCCATGGCTTCGCGCCATTTTTCCCTATGCTCCCCCCCCAAAGCCTGCTGAACTGTGGCAGGCTCCTTAGGAATCTCCGTGCCGTGAACCGCAGTGACGAGGCCAAGTATCTGGAGTCCGCTCTGTGTGTAGCGGGGAAGTGTTGTATCCTCGGGATAAGCTGCTTCGTCACCTTCTTCTGGATCAGGTAAGAAATTAGGTCCTATGCGTTCGGCTTCGTTGGTGTTGACTCGGGCGGGTGTAACGTAACCGTTGTCGGCGAAGTCGTAGAAGACTTCGGCGTTGATGCTTTCGCGAGGGTTGTCATCGTCCATTGGAATATCCACCGAGCAGTAGGGAAGTGGTCCGGCTTCTTCCGAAGCTCCGTCCATGGTCTGCTCGTCCAGGTCAGCTTCATCTTCTGCCGAAGCGAAGGCTCGGTCCCCACGAAATCCGCCTGTGACATCTCGTGAAGTCTCCAAGTTGTGCAGGTACGTTGAAAGGGTGAGTCGCTCGTAGAAAATGACATCACGTGTTGCTACTGTTTCCTTTGAGTGGACGTCGAAAATCTTCCACGCGTTGTAATTCTTTTCAATGCCCAGGTGTAGTCCCCACTGTGCGTGTTGGGAGAATCGGCCAGCGCGTGCAGCTGGGGGTCGGTACTGTACCATGCAGCCGAAATTTCGCAACATTTTTGTGCTGCCCAGTTTTCCTGTCCACAGCAGATGCGGTGATGCGTTGTTCGGGAGCGATGATGACGAAAGCAAGTTGTGGAGCATCATGGCGTGGTCCATTGCCTCGGGCCACTGGTGGTTGGGTAGCCGCATGCCACGTAGCAGCTTGCGCATGGTGTTCTGAAGGGTCCTGTTCATTCTTTCTGCTACACCCTGCTGTTGATGGGCGTAGGGGAGGGAGATGAGCCGCTTGATTCCTCTCTCTGCCAAGTACTGCTTGAACCTCTGTGAGGTGTATTCTCCTCCCCCATCAGACTGAAAGCTCTTCAGCTTAACTCCCGATTCCCGTTCTGCTACTGGGAGCCAGGCTACGAAGGCTTCGAAGGCCATGTCGCGGCTTGGAAGGTTGAGATGCCAGACATAACGAGTGGCGGCGTCGATGAACGTGATGGTGTAGTTGTATGCTCCTTGTCCAGGTTCGCGGTTGTACAGGATGTCGCTGTACACTTTCTCAAGTGGTGCGTAAGCTGGTGCGCTCGGGTTGTGGTGAGAAACGAAGGGCTGATGCTGTAAGTCAGGTTCTGGGCAGGTGAAGCAAGTTCCTCTCATTCGTCGAAGTTCTCTGCCGTCGGGTAAGAGTAGTGAGTCTTTGTCAAGAACGCCTGCTCGTATCGTGTTGTTTAACGTCGTGTTGCTCGGATGTCCCATTCGTTTATGCCAGAGATCTTCGTCAGCGCGATGTCCGGGTGAGCGGCGGTACAAGTCGGAGTTGGAGTAGAACCCTGCGGTGTGGTTTGTGCTTCGATGGACTTCTTGTGGAGTTGGATTCAACTGTTGCACAGGAGTCGGTGGTGTGTTGTCGACGAAGACCGGTGCCGTTGAAGGTCCCGCGATTGGTGTCGATGTTGTCTCTGCTGCTGCCGATGTTGTCTCTGCTGCTGCCGATGTTGTCTCTGCTGCTGCCGATGTTGTCTCTGCTGCTGCCGATGTTGTCTCTGCTGCTGCCGATGTTGTCTCTGCTGCTGCCGAGTGTTGAATCGTTGCTAATGATCTTGTTCGTTCTGCCTCAGAAATAGTATGTGAATACCAGAAGCCTTCGGGGCTGAAGTCAGGATCAAGATCCGGTGGGTGCGTCCAGGAGGTGAAGGTGACGATTCTGTCGCTGTCGGCGGTGCCTAAATCTGGAACGAAGTCGAGGACGAAGACGTTATTTTTCAGGACCGCCTTCCCGATGTAAAGTCCGCCTCTCCCGTGGTACAGCTTGAACTCCTGAGTGGTGCTGTCTGCTTCGAGATGGATGCCTTTCGTCATCAGTTTGTTGAGTGATGCTACCATTCGCATTCACGTCTGTCTGCCTCCCATCATATGTTCGTGCGTTGCATGCGTGTTGTGAGTGTGTGCAAGAATTTGTGTTTTGTGCGGTTTGGTTTTTCTGAGTGTGTGTGTGAATGTTATTTGGCTTGAGCAGATATCTGAAGTGACTCCTCTGCTCAAGAGCTTTCCGAGGAACCAAGTATCGCTTCAATCGGAGCACGAACAAGAAAGTTACGAACGTTGGAGTTCGTATGCTTTTGATATTTGGTTGTGGTGACTATGGGAAGTTGTGGGGTTGACTCAATATGGGGTACAGACTTTTGGGGGTTGGGAAATTCGTCTTTTCTACTGTAGTTGCTGCCAAATGGTTGGGAGAAACCAAACCAGGTTGGCAAGTGTGGCCAAGTTGGGTTGAGGTGGATTGTGGAGGTTGGGATAGTGACAAAGGTCAAAGTTGGGTTGCCTATGGGGAAGGGAATTGTATGGCATGGGGTTTCCTTGGTTGGGGACTCTCTTGGGACCTTCCCTCTCGTCCTCCTCATCCCCTCCTACCTGGTTCTATTGCTACTCTAACTTTCTTGTGTGAACTTGTGAGATCATTGTGATTGAGTTACGTTTTCTATGGCAGCATACCCCCTAGTGCGCCGAAGTTCATAACTCGAGTTATACTCCATATTCTGATACTATTCAAATTGGGAAAGATAGCCACGGTCAAGGGCTACAACATACTCGAGTTTGAAAGAATTCTAACAGTGGACCTTTCGTCGACGACGTTTCTTGTGACGA